TTCAAAATATGTTTAAAATTAACTGTGTATGGAGAAAAAATCACAGATAAAGATATGTTAGAGAAAATATTTTCATCCTTTCACGTCTTGAATGTGCTCTTGCAACAACAATATTGTGAGTATGGTTTCAAAAAGTACTCAAAACATTGCTTGTTGCTAAACAAAATAATGAACTATTATGTCCAATTGTTATGTAACATTACACGAAGCAAATGGCACTGCATTGTCAAACACAAAAGTAATATCAAGAGAAGCACGAGGACGTGAATGTGGACACGGATTTAGAAATGGATGCGGACGTGCACGTTGTATAAATCATGAACGAAATAATCAACAAAGTTATCAACAATAGGGCAACAATTTCAAAATGTACAAAAGCAAATGAAAGTAATACATCTAAAAATGAACACGAAAAAAGTTGCTTCAGATGTTGAATGAAAAGACATTAAGCACATACTTGTCGTATGGCAAAACATCTTGTGAATTTCTATAAAAAATCAATTAAGAAAAAAGGAAAAGTGGATATACATTTTGTTCATTATGATGGTCCAACTGATATGACTCATTTGAATCCCTTTGATATTTTTGCCAATTCAAATGAAAATATTGATCATTTGATTGGGGTGGTGCGATAGAAGATATAAATTAATTTATGTTTATGTTTCTAGTTTCTTTACTTTAGAAATTTAATTTGAAATATATTTTTACATTTCGTAAAAAAGAAAAATATTATGCATCGTTAATTTCATATTATTGAATCATGTTTACTCTTTTAAATTTAAATTCAAAAATTTTAAATATATTTATTTTTTTATATTTATGGATTCACGATGGGTTATCAAGATATCTACTTGATTGATAGTACAATTACAAATACTATTTTTCCAGACAAATATTTTTTGGATTTTATATTAGTAGAAAACAGTGTTAATACGATATCAAGTGCACTAAATATCGTTGAAGGCTCCGAAAGAGTTTGTATTATTTTATCAAATAATATAAAATTATATATTGACGATACACTTTATTCTAATAAATCTAGAAGAAATTTGCTTAATTTTAAAAGATATTAGCTGTAATGGATACATATTGAGACGATGCAAGAAAATAATATTAAATATCTTTGCATTCTTTTGTATTTGGCAAGAAGTAGATAAAAGAAAATTTTCATGCATTTCCATCTGACATGTATTATACATTCATAAAAATAATTGAATCAAATATTGTCGCGAATTAGAAGTTCGTTAACCCAAAAAGTTCAATACTTTAGCATGATCGACTTGGATATCAAGGTGCTATAATAATGTATAGAATAATAAACAACTCATATGGACATCCTTTAAAAAACTAGAAATTTTTTTTATCTAATGATTATCCATGTGTAGTTTGCTCGCAATGTTAGTTACTCATTAGACCTTCGATTACAAAAGTTAATATTGAATTTACAACTTTCTTGAAAAAAAATTCATAGAGATATATGTGAGCCAATAATAGAATATTTTGTTATTTTATGGTATTAATTTATTGTTAATTTTGATTGGACAATTATCTTAGTATTAATGGGAGGAATTAAGAAGTTGAAAATGATGTATAAATGTATCATTATCTAAATCCTCGCAAAAAATAATTTGAATTAGAAATTCGAAATATAATTTATTTAGATGTATTTACTGACCAAAGAAATCAATAATATCTCACACATCAGCTTTAAATGCTTTAAACTCGAATTAACATCCTAACGGACTATATTTAATATGATATTTGATGGTACACCTGAAGGGTGATGTATTCGATTCTAATATAAAAATCTCCAAACAGTTAGTAAAGATTGTCTCACTAAGGAGATATATACACTTGATGAGTATTTAAATATAACAAATTATAAAATTCTATAAGAGGTCCAGGTACTTGATATGTTGCAATTTGAGATATCTCAATAATTTATGTCATTATGGGAAAATAAAAAAAAAACAGAATCGAAAAGGAAAATAAAAAATTTGTCAATAACACTTTTGCACATGATGTACTAAATCACATATGAAGAGTACATGCATCATATTGATGTCCCTATAGGATAATTTGTTATGACAAATGAATCTCAAATACGTCAGAAGCATAGTTGAATAGTTGGTTTAAGAGATTATGTACCTAAAAAAAGTATAAGAGAAACATCAACAAAAAAAATTCCGAAAGAAATAACATTTGAAAAGATTGATAAATCAAATATTGAAAATATAGTTTCTGAATAGCTACAAGTATTCAGAAATAATAAGATTTCAATAAATTTATGATATCTCATAAATTATGAAAATGAAATAATGTTATTATAGATAATATTTTTATCTTTAATGTGATTTTCGAAATTATGCAAAATGAGGATCATGAACCACAGTATGTTAAAAATTGTCAAAATAGAAATGATTGGTTAAAATGGAGAGAAGCTATACATGCGAAATTGAATGCCTCAGAGAAACGACAAGTGTTTGGATATGTAGTTCGAACATTGAAAATGTAATCTCTGTTGAATACAAATGAGATTTTTGTACGAAAAGAGAAATGACAATAATGAAATTACAAGATACAAAACCCGATTTGAAGTTCAAGGTTTCTCAAAAGACCAAGAATCGATTATGAGGAAACATATTCTCCCGTAATGAACACCGTCACTTTAAAATTCTTAATTAGTTCGACTGTATTACAAAGGCTTGATATGCACTTTATGGATGTAGTAATTGCCTATTTATAGATCCACTTAAGTGCAACATGTATATATGAAAGTTAATGAAAGACATAAAGTGCTAGGAACGAATGATATATGCCCGATAACCATATTCTCAATTAAATTGCAAAGATCATTATATGGATAGAAACAATCCGAATACATGTAATATAATCGCTTTAACGAATATTTGTTGAAAGAGGGTTATAAAATTGCGATGTCTGTTCACGTGTTTTTATAAAGAAAACAAATATTGAATTTGTAATTATGACAATTTATGTTGATGATTTAAATTTAATTAAAACTCTTGAAGGGCTTAACAACACCGTTGACGAATTTGAGAAGAAGGATTTAGGAAAAAAAAATTGTCTTGGGTTGTCGATTGAACATTTTTCAGAAGGGTTATTTCTTCATCAATTCACATATACAGAAAAGTCTTAAAACGTTTTTATATGGATAATACATATCTATTGGTATCACCTATAGTTGTTTGATCATTTGATGTGAAAATAGATCAATTTCGTCCACTTAAAGATGGAGAAAAACTCTTGGTCCTAAAGTACTATATATTAGCTCAACTGAAACATTAACCTAACTTGCAAATTGCACTCGATCGGACATAGTTTTTCTATAAAGCTCTTTACAAGATATAGCTCTACACCAACTTAAAGATATTGAAATGCTGTTAATATATTTTTCGTTGCCTAAAAGGTACTATTGATTTGAGATTATTTAATTCTCAAAAGTCGGGATCTTCTTTAATGGAATATGCAGATAAATATTATCTCTCTGACCCACGTAAGACTAAATCACAAACAGAATATGTGTTTACACGTAAAGAAATAGTTAAATCATAAAGATCTGTGAAACAATTCTTGATAGCAATATTTTCAAATCATCCTGAAATTATTACAATTCATGAAGTAGGCCTAGAATATACAGCTGAGGAACATGACCTATCATATCCAAGTATTATGCAGGTTAACTTCAACACAAAATAATCCAACAACTTTTGTATAAAGGTAATGCAGTTTGTATTGCACAACTCAAATGATGATATATCAAAGATGATATGATGAAACATATTTCTTCAAAAAATTTTCATATACATAAGCTTTAAAAAAATGTCGACAACGATGTCCAAAAAATTCGCTCAAGTGACAATGTGACTGATTTATTCACAAAAACATTATCGACGTCTACATTCAAGCAATTGGTTCATAAAATTGGAATAAGTCGAATCAAAGATTTTCAGTGATCAATATTAGGGAGAGTAGCTGTATTTTTTTTTCTTTCGCTTAGATTTTATCCCACTGAATTTTCCTAACACGATTTTAATGATGCAACAATTATTTTTAATATTCCAAAATATTCGAACTCATTTTCCTTCATTTAAATTTTTTTTGTCCCAATGATTTTTTATTAAATAAGGTTTTAACAAGACAGATATTTTGCAATGTGTCAGGGAATATTATAAATGGTAAGTTTATTAGTAAATGACAATCATACCCTTGTAACCCTAGAAATTGTTACTGCTGTATCTCTGATTTTTCCCTTTAAATATAGGGTTTTGATTATTAATAAAACACATACAAGTCTATTAACTTTTCTCTATTATCTTCTTTTTTTTTTTCTCTCTTTTTATAACAGTAATATGAGGCCAGAATCTGAATTATTTTTAAAGAGATTTCCTTAGAATTTAAGAGTTGATAACATGGCATACTATTATAAGTAATGAAAGATAATGATCGGTTACAAAATTTATTTGTTGTGCAACATCAGTAGTGGTATGATCAATTTCGCAAAGATTGATATCGTTTCTATAAAAAGGAAGTATGTCATACTTATATTTAAATTTTAAGTAGTATCAAACATTCTTAGAGCCCATTGGAGCCCCATTTCTTGTTCAAAACATATTTCAAAATAGTATTTATTTTTGCGTGTAATATTATCTTATTAAAAAATTTGTGGTTCAAAGAGAGAGAGAGAATGTATTTTAGAAATGATAGGGCCAAACAAGGGTTTAATTAATCCCCGCCCTTTGGCCCTTCCATACTTCATAGAGTTTTGCTACACTAATATAGGGGGATGATCGAATACACACACATGGGGTCGGCATTATTTTAACTCACGTGGGTCCCACACTCGCAATGTGAGGGTTAGTCAGCACACATGTCAAAATTTTCGGGCAAACCAACTTTGTTCTAATTCATATATTACAATTCTCTCTCTCAAATACAATAATATTATCTTTTCAAACACTTCCTTATCTCCTCTCTCTTCCTGCTTCTGTTAACCCAAAAATGGTGGTGGCCTCTCCAAACCTTTCAAAAACTGGAAAACTAAGAGAGATTGAAATTCCAATTATAGACCTTTCCGCCGACAGGTCCGAGGTTTCAAAACTCATTGTTAAAGCCTGTGAAGAGTTCGGTTTCTTTAAGGTTATCAACCATGGTGTCCCTCATGATGTGATTACAAGAATGGAACAAGAAGGTTACGAGTTTTTTGCGAAACCAGCGTCTAGAAAACAGCAAGCTGGACCTGCAAATCCATATGGCTATGGGAGCAAGAATATAGGACTGAAGGGAGATATCGGAGAAGTTGAATATCTTCTCCTACCGACCAATCCTCTTTCCATCGACGACAATTCGAAAACTATTTCCAGCACTGATCCTTATAAGTTCAGGTACTTAATTCCAGGGTATATAATATATGTTTTTTGCCCTTCCAAACTTGATGTTTAACCACCTTGCTAAGAACGCTATATTGATATAAAACACAATTTATTTTCTCATTAAAGTTCTGATGCATACTTAAAATTTCCAATCATGCTACTTGTACAATGCATTTTACAATTTGGTTTACAATACAAGACTTGGCAAACGTCACATTCATTTATTTGAAAAATTATTTTTAAAAACAATAGTCAAGATTTTTTCAACACACGTGTTGTTAATCAAGTTGTGCAAATATATTGTACAAGTGACTTTATTCTAAAATTTCAGAGATGACCTTGACCTGACATAATATTGTTGAACCAATTTGTCAAAAGCTTAACGGTCGAATCAATCATTAAAGTTTTATGAATGAGTTGTCTCTTTAATTATTATCAATCAAATTAGATAAAGGCTCTTGTTTTCAAGTTTGACAACCAAGTGAACCAACTATATAAAAATTATGCTAGTAATCTTTGATAAAAATTAAAACTTAACACGCACTTCAAATATGAGGAAATATGGAAATATTTGCGTAGGAATGTTTTAGATTGGGTCCTTTATGTCCGATTCTTATTGGGGATCCACATAGACCTTCTCCTATTAAAATCAAATCATTATTCATATTAATATTGGCTTCATTTTAGTCGAGCCTTCTCTCATTGAAGATACCTCTACATTCTGCATACACGCACACACCCCAAACGTGTGTGTACATGGATAGAGTTATTCTTTTGGATAAATATATATGTACAAACACATTGTTACAAAATGGATTACTTCCTCTCACAAAAGAAGCGGACCCTACATGAATTTAAAAAATGTTGGCTTGTGGTCCTTACCTCCATTGGGAGTGTAAGTAAAATTTTTTGTACAAATTTGTGTGTACATCTAGTATGGTCCTATTCTTTTTGTACAGAAGAGAATAACTGTCAGGCAGAGTGTACAGGTGTTACAAGTATGATTTTCTTTTTTTTCTTTTTTTTTTGGCTAACAACCAATGAAAAATGAATAAGTGTCCCCTTGTACAGAAGCTGTCAAACTCTCCCTGTACACATAAAAAATTCTTCAAGTACGAAAAATTTTTGCCAGATTTTTGACAGATTTTTGAATTCTCACTCACATGAGAGTGGGCCCTTGTATAAAATATTGAAAAAAAAAATTTCCCACCTTTGAATGTGAGTGTTCGGTAGGTACAGGAATTTAAATTAATCTCTGTACCTATAGCAAGGTTGTGTACACATAGCATCTCTTGTACGTATATTCTCTTGCTGTCAATTTAGAGGGGTCTTTCATCTAAAGTATTAAGACATGTACAGTGCTATTCTTACGTGCACCCTTAATCCATCTCTTTCAATACTAACAAATACGTAATTCTTACGGCATAGACATGAATTGGGTGTATAAATACATTAAGTAAAGAAATAAACTTTGATAATGATGTAAATCAAAACAGTTTCTGGCAATACGTCTAAGTTTCTTGTTTTGAGTCTCTTAGATATATAATTATTCTTCAGTGCTTTTAATCATAACTTGCATTACTTAAACTTACATTAAGTAATTACTTTAATTATATGACTTCATCTTACTTGTACATTATTTAGATAGTAACTTTGATTAGGAAAAAAAAAATAGTTAAAACAATTATTTACTTAAAAGCAAACTACTATTACTCAGCCAAACTTGCATTTTAACCTTTTGAAAAATTATTGACTTTCTACTTGTCACATTAATAATACATAATTGGTAGATTAAAAACTTGTTTTGATAGTAATTGATTGTTTAAGTATATAACCATGATATGTTGTCAAGCATTTATATGTTGGTCCATAATTTCATCTTTATTCGACATGGAATTTATCCCTTAACACCTAATTAGACAATGATTACATGGATTCATCGATTTTCCAATAAGTTTGGGTTATTGTAATGAACGATTTAGCATAAATTACATAAGCATTCACGTAGTTATACTTCAATATTTCAATTCAATAAGAGTCTACATAGTCGTGTCAATGACAGTGTAGAATATCACTTCTATTTCACACGAAACTCGAATGTTTGGACGTGGTCTTAGGTGATTAATGTTGTATTGTGACTCTTCTATTAAACAAGAGTTTTGAAAGAAAAAAGCATGGATTAGGGTTTCATGGACAATTTAATAAAATTATAAAGCTATTTGTACATTCGGGTGTCAAACCGGATGACACTCTCCTCACAAGAAAAGGGGGCTCACACATAATAAAATAATTGCAGATCTCCCTCTTGTGAGGAGAGTGTCATCCGGGGTTTAACATCTCGAATGTATAAATAGCAAATTCCTAAGTGCCCCTTTGACATACATTAATTTATTGTATGCTTTGTTACATGATTATTTTCAATCACAAATCCACGAAATAAAATATTCTACACGAATATCAAAATTTTTTCTCTACTTTTTAATCATAAATTCTTCTAAAAATTACTATTTAAAATTCTTTATTTTACAATAATGATTGTCAACAGGCTCTAGATAAAGATAGTAAAAAAAAAAATTTATCTTCTAACTATACATTCACAAAATAAAATATTTTATGTATAAATCTTTTTTTTTTTTTAACAATACATTTTCTAGAAATTCATTATTGAAACCAATATTTTTCCAAAAAAATGCCATCAAACAAAGCTTAGATTATTTGAAAAATTCACGTAATCATTAACCTCTCATCAAAAGCATTGTAGTAAAGAGTTTGGCATGGATTAAAATTTAATTTTAATTTAAGTCAATGTTAACAATTTATTTTAACCACAAATTTCATAGGTTTCACAACTTTTCAACTAAACATTTTATCAATATATATCAAATCTACTAAAAAAATCTGATTTTTAATCTCCACCAAACATAGACTTAATCTATATATTGTGAATAGTTAAGAAATTCTTGTAATAGTGGAATTCTATCGATAAGAACTATAATGAAAACGTCTTCCAAATATTGTTACTATTTAGAAAATTCATGTAATTGGTGACTTCTCGTCAAGAACAACATATTTAAAACGGCATTCGAATTTTATAATTATTTATTCTTTGTATGTAAAACATAATAAATAGTCTAATTATTTAAAATATTCAAGTGATAACTGACCTCTCGCCTTGAGCAATACGGTGACATGCCACCAAATGTCGCGGCTTAATGCAAAAATTGAAAAAAATTCATGTCGAGGACCCATCTTAGTTCTTTAATATTAAATGTAACATGACATAGAGGCCAAGTGTGGGTTAACCAATTACTTATGGGTCAAACTTTATCGAAACCCATTGGAACAAAAATTACCATTTTAGGACCATCAATAGAGGAGTGACTTGTTTGGTTCACGCTATCACTATAATTGTGCTACCGATTATTTTATTTATGCTAGAGTTGGTTATGACCAAGATTGCCCAATATGATATGTTTTCCCATTTGTGTTAGTATTAATTGATAAGAGATTGATTATGACTACTCCATGAATCAAACGTCGTCTAAGATAAATGTGAAATTTTGAAAAATTTTATTGTTTTCACTTTTGAGTTTGAAATATTTGAGAATGATATAATACGACATAATCTACATTAGATATCGTCAAGTTTTTGAAACATAAAGTTCAACATGAGGAAGATCGACATGTTTGATGTCTAGGTCCTTTAACTATGTGTTAAATTCTAATATAATTGTGTTAGTATTAATTGATAAGAGAACGATTATGACTACGCTATGAATCAAAGGTCATCTAAGATACATGTGAAATTTTGAAAATTTTAATTGACTTTTGAGTTTGAAATGTTTGAGGATGATATAACACCATATAATCTACATTAGATATCGTCAAGTTCTTGAAACATAAAGTTCAATGGAAGGAAGAGCGGCATGTGTGGTGTCCAAGTCCTTTAACTATATGTTAAATTCTATTTTCTATAATTATGCTAAAAATTATTTCAAACACGATCAATTTATTTACTATCAAAATTGGTCAAATATGACACATTTCTAATTCGTATTCATATCAATTAATGAGAGGTTGATTGTGGCTACATCATGAATGAAATCACTCAACTACACGTGAAAAGTTTACTACTTTAAGATGGAAATGTTTGAGGATAATATAACTCCAACTTCATCTACATGAGATATCTTTAAATTCTTGAAAAAGAGAGCTCAAGAAGATATTTTCATTAATAATTCCTTATATCATTTTGAGATAGCTATTTTTAGTAGAATTATTTACTTTTTCGGGATATTGATACACCAAAAAACAAATTAAACACATATTCAAGAGACTATTTTTAAAGAGTATATTTTATTATTTAGAAAGCATATATAAATTTAGAGAAATAAAATTTTGAAATACTTCAAGAAGCTGTTTATATTTAACACTTAATTTTACTACTTCCAAAAAATATTTTTTTATTTTCCCTATCTTTTATTTTCACTAGTTTTCTCTATATTATTTTATTATCTTCCCACATTAAAAATTGAAATATTTAGAATGCATTTAGTTATAGAGAGCGAGTTTGGTTCAATTCTAAACTGTTCAAAATATGTTTAAAATTAACTGTGTATGGAGAAAAAATGACAGATAAAGAGATGTTAGAGAAAATATTTTCATCCTTTCACGTCTTGAATGTGCTCTTGCAACAACAACATTGTGAGTATGGTTTCAAAAAATACTCAAAACTTATATCTTGCATACTTGTTGCTAAACAAAATAATGAACTATTACGTCCAACTGGTTATCTAACATTATCTGAAGCAAATGGCCCTGCATTGTCAAACACAAAAGTGATATCAAGAGAAGCACGAGCACGTGAATGTGGACATGGATTTAGAAATGGATGCGGACGTGCACGTTGTATAAATCATGGACGAAATAATCAACAAAGTTATCAACAACAGGGCAACAATTTCAAAATGTACAAAAGCAAATGAAAGTAATACATCTAAAAATGAACACGAAAAAAGTTGTTTCAGATGTTGAATGAAATGACATTAAGCACATACTTGTCATATGGCAAAACATCTTGTGAATCTCTATCAAAAATCAATTAAGAAAAAAGGAAAAGTGGATATACATTTTGTTTATTATGATGGTCCAACTGATATGACTCATTTGAATCCCTTTGATATTTTTGCCAATTCAAATGAAAATATTGACCATTTGATTGGGGTGGTGTGATAGAAGATATAAATTAATTTATTTCTATGTTTCTAGTTTCTTTACTTTAGAAATTTAATTTGAAATATGTTTTTACATTTCGTAAAAAAGAAAAATATTACGCATCGTTAATTTCATATTATTGAATCATGTTTACTCTTTTAAATTTAAATTCAAAAATTTTAAATATATTTATTTTTTTATATTTATGGATTCACGATGGGTTATCAAGATACCTACTTGATTGATAGTACAATTACAAATACTATTTTTTAAGACAAATATTCTTTGGACTTTATATTAGTAGAAAACAGTGTTAATACGATATCAAGTGCACTAAATATCGTTGAAGACTCCGAAAGAGCTTGTATTATTTTATCAAATAATACAAAATTATATATTGACGATACACTTTATTCTAGTAAATCTAGAAGAAATTTGCTTAATTTTAAAAGATATTAGCTGTAATGGATACATATTGAGACGATGCAAGAAGATAATATTAAATATATTTGCATTCTTTTGTATTTGGCAAGAAGTAGATAAAAGAAAAACTTCATGCATTTCCATCTGACATGTATTATACATTCATAAAAATAATTGAATCAAATATTGTCACGAATTAGAAGTTCGTTAACCCAAAAAGTTCAATACTTTGGCATGATCAACTTGGATATCAAGGTGCTATAATAATGCATAGAATAATAAAAAACTCATATGGACATCCTTTAAAAAACTAGAAAATTTTTCTATCTAATGACTATCCATGTGTAGTTTGCTCGCAATGTTAGTTACTCATTAGACCTTCGATTACAAAAGTTAATATTGAATCTACAACTTTCTTGAACAAAAAAATCATAGAGATATATGTGAGCCAATAAACCCACCATCTAGAATATTTTGTTATTTTATGGTATTAATTTATTGTTAATTTTGATTGGACAATTATCTTAGTATTAATGGGAGGAATTAAGAAGTTGAAAATGATGTATAAATGTATCGTTTTCTAAATCCTCGTAAAAAATAATTTGAATTAGAAATTCGAAAGATAATTTATTTAGATGTATTTACTGACCAAAGAAATCAATAATATCTCACACATAAGCTTTAAATGCTTTAAACTCGAATTAACATCCTAACGGACTATATTTAATATGATATTTGATGGTACACTTGAAGGGTGATGTATTCGATTCTAATATAAAAATCTCCAAACAGTTAGTAAAGATTGTCTCACTAAGGAGATATATACACTTGATGAGTATTTAAACATAAATTATAAAATTCTATAAGAGGTTCAGGTACTTGATATGTTGAAATTTGAGATATCTCAATAATTTATATCATTATGGGAAAATAAAAAAAAAGAATCAAAAAGGAAAATAAAAAAGTTGTCAATAACACTTTTGCACATGATGTACTATATCACATATGAAGAGTACATGCATCATATTGATGTCCCTATAGGATAATTTGTTATGACAAATGAATCTCAAATACGTCAGAAGCGTAGTTGACTAGTTGGTTCAAGAGATTATGTACCTAAAAAAAGTATAAGAGAAAAATCCACAAAAAAATTTCGAAAGAAATAACATTTGAAAAGATTGATCAATTAAATATTGAAAATATAGTTTTTGAATAGCTACAAGTATTCAGAAATAATGAGATTTCAATAAATTTATGATATCTCATAAATTATGAAAATGAAATAATGTTATTATAGATAATATTTTTGTCTTTAATGTGATTTCGAAATTATGCAAAATGAGGATCCTGAACCACAGTATGTTAAAAACTGTCAAAATAGTAATGATTGGCAAAAATGGAGAGAAGCTATACATGCAAAATTGAATTCCTCAGAGAAATGGCAAGTGTTTGGACATGTAGTTTGAACATTGAAAATGTAATCCCTGTTGAATACAAATGAGATTTTTGTACGAAAAGATAAATGACAATAATGAAATTACAAGATACAAAACTCGATTTGAAGTTCAAGGTTTCTCAAAAGACCAAGAATCGATTATGAGGAAACATATTCTCTCGTAATGAACACCGTCACTTTAAAATTCTTAATTAGTTCGACTGTATTACAAAGGCTTGATATGCACTTTATGGATGTAGTAATTGCCTATTTATAGATTCACTTAAGAGCAACATATATATATATATGAAAGTTAATGAAAGACATAAAGTGCCAGGAACGAATGATATATGCCCGATAACCATATTCTCAATTAAATTGCAACGATCATTATATGGATGAAAACAATCCGAATACATGATCATTTGATGTGAAAATAGATCAATTTCGTCCACTTGAAGATGGAGAAAAACTCTTGGTCCTAAAGTACTATATATTAGTTCAACTGAAACATTAACCTAACTTGCAAATTGCACTCGATCGGACATAATTTTTCTATAAAGCTCTTTACAAGATATAGTTCTACACCAACTTAAAAATATTGAAATGGTGTTAATATATTTTTCGTTGCCTAAAAGGTACTATTGATTTGAGATTATTTAATTCTCAAAAGTCGGGATCTTCTTTAATGGAATATGCAGATACATATTATCTCTCTGACCTACGTAAGACTAAATCACAAACAGAATATGTGTTTACACGTGAAGAAATAGTTAAATCATAGAGATCTGTGAAACAATTCTTGATAGCAACATTTTCAAATCATCCTGAAATTATTACAATTCATGAAGTAGGCCGAGAATGTACAGTTGAGGAACATGACCTATCATATCCAAGTATTATGCAGATTAACTTCAACAAAAAATAATCCAACAACTTTTGTATAAAGGCAATGCAGTTTATATTGCACAACTCAAATGATGATATATCAAAGATGATATGATGAAGCATATTTCTTCAAAATTCTTTCATATACATAAGCTTTAAAAAAATGTCGACAACAATGTCCAAAAAATTCGCTCAAGTGACAATGTGACCGATTTATTCACAAAAGCATTATCGACATCTACATTCAAGCAATTGGTTCATAAAATTGGAATAAGTCGAATCAAAGATTTTCAGTGATCAATATTAGGGAGAGTAGCTGTATTTTTTTTTCTTTCGCTTAGATTTTATCTCACTGAATTTTCCTAACACGATTTTAATGATGCAACAATTATTTTTAATACTCCAAAATATTCGTACTCATTTTCCTTCGTTTGAATTTTTTTTGTCCCAATGATTTTTTATTAAACAAGGTTTTAAGAAGACAGATATTTTGTAATGTGTCAGGGAGTATTATAAATGGTAAGTTTATTAGTGAATGACAATCATACCCTTGTAACCCTAGAAATTGTTACTGCTGTATCTCTGATTTTCCCTTTAAATATAGGGTTTTGATTATTAATAAAACACATACAAGTCTATTAACTTTTCTCTATTATCTTTTTTTTTTTTTCTCTCTTTTTATAACAGTAATATGGGGCTAGAATCTGAATTATTTTTAAAGAGATTTCCTTAGAATTTAAGAGTTGATAACATGGCATACTATTATAAGTAATGAAAGATAATGATCGGTTACAAAATTTATTTGTTTTGCAACATCACTAGTGGTATGATCAATTTCGCTAGGATTGATATCGTTTCCATAAAAAGGAAGTATGTCATACTTATATTTAAATTTTAAGTAGTATCAAACATTCTTAGAGCCCATTAGAGCCCCATTTTTTTGTTCAAAACGTATTTCAAAATAGTATTTATTTTTGCGTGTAATATTATTTTATTAAAAAATTTGTTGTTCAAAGAGAGAGAGAGAGAGAATGTATTTTAGAAATGATAGGACCAAACAAGGGTTTAATCAATCCCCACCCTTTGGCCCTTCCATAATTCATAGAGTTTTGCTACACTAATATAGGGGGGGTAATTGAATACACACACATGGGGGTCGGCATTATTTTAACTCACATGGGATCCACACGTGCAATGTGAGGATCTGTCAGGAGGCATGTCAAAATTTTCGGGCAAACCAACTTTGTTCTAATTCATATATTACAATTCTCTCTCTCAAATACAATGATATTATCTTTTCAAACACTTCCTTATCTCTTTTCTCTTCCTGCTTCTGTTAACCCAAAAATGGTGGTGGCCTCTCCAAACCTTTCAAAAACTGGAAAACTACGAGAGATTGAAATTCCAATTATAGACCTTTCCGCCGACAGGTCCGAGGTTTCAAAACTCATTGTTAAAGCCTGTGAAGAGTTCGGTTTCTTTAAGGTTATCAACCATGGTGTCCCTCATGATGTGATTACAAGAATGGAACAACAAGGTTACGAGTTTTTTGCGAAACCAGCGTCTAGAAAACAGCAAGCTGGACCTGCAAATCCATATGGCTATGGGAGCAAGAATATAGGACTGAAGGGAGATATCGGAGAAGTTGAATATCTTCTCCTACCGACCAATCCTCTTTCCATCGACGACAATTCGAAAACTATTTCCAGCACTGATCCTTATAAGTTCAGGTACTTAATTCCAGGGTATATAATATATGTTTTTTGCCCTTCCAAACTTGATGTTTAACCACCTTGCTAAGAACGCTATATTGATATAAAACACAATTTATTTTCTCATTAAAGTTCTGATGCATACTTAAAATTTCCAATCATGCTACTTGTACAATGCATTTTACAATTTGGTTTACAATACAAGACTTGGCAAACGTCACATTCATTTATTTGAAAAATTATTTTTAAAAACAATAGTCAAGATTTTTTCAACACACGTGTTGTTAATCAAGTTGTGCAAATATATTGTACAAGTGACTTTATTCTAAAATTTCAGAGATGACCTTGACCTGACATAATATTGTTGAACCAATTTGTCAAAAGCTTAACGGTCGAATCAATCATTAAAGTTTTATGAATGAGTTGTCTCTTTAATTATTATCAATCAAATTAGATAAAGGCTCTTGTTTTCAAGTTTGACAACCAAGTGAACCAACTATATAAAAATTATGCTAGTAATCTTTGATAAAAATTAAAACTTAACACGCACTTCAAATATGAGGAAATATGGAAATATTTGCGTAGGAATGTTTTAGATTGGGTCCTTTATGTCCGATTCTTATTGGGGATCCACATAGACCTTCTCCTATTAAAATCAAATCATTATTCATATTAATATTGGCTTCATTTTAGTCAAGCCTTCTCTCATTGAAGATACCTCTACATTCTGCATACACGCACACACCCCAAACGTGTGTGTACATGGATAGAGTTATTCTTTTGGATAAATATATATGTACAAACACATTGTTACAAAATGGATTACTTCCTCTCACAAAAGAAGCGGACCCTACATGAATTTAAAAAATGTTGGCTTGTGGTCCTTACCTCCATTGGGAGTGTAAGTAAAACTTTTTGTACAAATTTGTGTGTACATCTAGTATGGTCCTATTCTTTTTGTACAGAAGAGAATAACTGTCAGGCAGAGTGTACAGGTGTTACAAGTATGATTTTCTTTTTCTTTTTTTTTTTTGGCTAACAACCAATGAAAAATGAATAAGTGTCCCCTTGTACAGAAGCTGTCAAACTCTCCCTGTACACATAAAAAATTCTTCAAGTATGAAAAATTTTTGCCAGATTTTTGACAGATTTTTGAATTCTCACTCACATGAGAGTGGGCCCTTGTATAAAATATTGAAAAAAAAAATTTCCCACCTTTAAATGTGAGTGTTCGGTAGGTACAGGAATTTAAATTAATCTCTGTACCTATAGCAAGGTTGTGTACACATAGCATCTCTTGTACGTATATTCTCTTGCTGTCAATTTAGAGGGGTCTTTCATCTAAAGTATTAAGACATGTACAGTGCTATTCTTACGTGCACCCTTAATCCATCTCTTTCAATACTAACAAATACGTAATTCTTACGGCATAGACATGAATTGGGTGTATAAATACATTAAGTAAAGAAATAAACTTTGATAATGATGTAAATCAAAACAGTTTCTGGCAATACGTCTAAGTTTCTTGTTTTGAGTCTCTTAGATATATAATTATTCTTCAGTGCTTTTAATCATAACTTGCATTACTTAAACTTACATTAAGTAATTACTTTAATTATATGACTTCATCTTACTTGTACATTATTTAGATAGTAACTTTGATTAGGAAAAAAAAATAGTTAAAACAATTATTTACTTAAAAGCAAACTACTATTACTCAGCCAAACTTGCATTTTAACCTTTTGAAAAATTATTGACTTTCTACTTGTCACATTAATAATACATAATTGGTAGATTAAAAACTTGTTTTGATAGTAATTGATTGTTTAAGTATATAACCATGATATGTTGTCAAGCATTTATATGTTGGTCCATAATTTCATCTTTATTCGACATGGAATTTATCCCTTAACACCTAATTAGACAATGATTACATGGATTCATCGATTTTCCAATAAGTTTGGGTTATTGTAATGAACGATTTAGCATAAATTACATAAGCATTCACGTAGTTATACTTCAATATTTCAATTCAATAAGAGTCTACATAGTCGTGTCAATGACAGTGTAGAATATCACTTCTATTTCACACGAAACTCGAATGTTTGGACGTGGTCTTAGGTGATTAATGTTGTATTGTGACTCTTCTATTAAACAAGAGTTTTGAAAGAAAAAAGCATGGATTAGGGTTTCATGGACAATTTAATAAAATTATAAAGCTATTTGTACATTCGGGTGTCAAACCGGATGACACTCTCCTCACAAGAAAAGGGGGCTCACACATAATAAAATAATTGCAGATCTCCCTCTTGTGAGGAGAGTGTCATCCGGGGTTTAACATCTCGAATGTATAAATAGCAAATTCCTAAGTGCCCCTTTGACATACATTAATTTATTGTATGCTTTGTTACATGATTATTTTCAATCACAAATCCACGAAATAAAATATTCTACACGAATATCAAAATTTTTTCTCTACTTTTTAATCATAAATTCTTCTAAAAATTACTATTTAAAATTCTTTATTTTACAATAATGATTGTCAACAGGCTCTAGATAAAGATAGATAAGAATCAGAGGGAAAAGTCATAGGTATGCATCGACAAGGTCCAATCAAATCAAAAGATTTTCAAAAGAAGTAGAAACCTCTCAGATATGGAGATAGCCTGTGGTGACCATTTTTACCAAACGATAAACCAAACCACCCAATCCCCCTGAAAAATGTGCCTATGAGCAATGGCCAAACCAAAGTAGAATTACGCTGTCGGGTTACTATAGTTCCAGTTGGGTTTAGTGGTTTTATTCTCAACCTGGTTTTATGAAGTTGGGCTTAAGACGATCTCATTGTTGAAATGTATAGATCTTAATTTTACCATCGAACTACATTAAAACGTAACATTAGATACACTGAGGTAAATTGGATTTATATCAATATTCCATGGGCATGAATTTGGTCTTGTCGTCTGTGCTTTACATTTTTTATGTTTAGACTTTGCCTAAACCCTCTTAGTCTTGTAAATGCTTAGAGCTTGATATTACTGTCTAATCACGTTTTAATGTATTAGGTCTCTCTAACATTTATACTACCCTGTTTGAGCTACGTTAATGTAAAAATGAGAATGAAAAATATAATCGTTATGGATCCCATATAAGAGATAGAAAATCAAATATGATAGTTTGATGTAATGGATAATGATCATATTTTCATTTTAATGGATAAATAATGGGAAACAAATACGGGCCATATATAAGATATTGAAAGGTCGTTATGGTGTGTAATAGTTGCTAAATATCTGTAAAGTAGACATAAGAGAATGAAATATTATAAGGTTTTGTGTGTGTATGCATTTTTTTTTAAATTAAGTTTCTTAGTTTATTATTATTATACACACTTAATTGACACATATATGCATGTTCGGCATAATTTATAAGTTTTTATCAATTTGTCAAATTGTATTTTTATCAACACATTACGTAGAACACACAAATTTTACTTGTTACCTCACATTCCTTATAAGCCGTAAAACTTAGCCAAGTAAGTTGTGTTAAAAGTTCTACACCTGATTAAGAAAACATGAAAGAAATCGTATGATGGAAAATTAACAGTTTTTTGTGCGTTGTGACAGCTGTGCAGTGAGGGGTTATGTAGAAGCAGTTAACAAGTTGGCATATGAAATATTGGAGCTGATGGCAGTAGGGTTAGAGGCCCCTGACCCTTCTGTACTCAGCAGACTAATCAGGGACGGTGACTCTCTCCTCAGATTCAATCACTATCCAAAGGTTGATGGTGGTGCCACGTCACCCTCCTGTATTGGATTTGGAGAACATACTGACCCTCAGATCTTGACCCTTTTGAGATCCAACGATGTAGATGGCCTCCAAATCTCATTGGATGATGGGGTGTGGGTCCCAGTCAACTCTCACCCAGTTTCAGCCTTTTGTATTAATGTTGGTGACGTGTTACAGGTGGATCCCATCTTTTATTTTGGGCTCTTTTTCCTTCTTGCTGTGCTAGATGAACAGGCCATCGGCCCCGCCCCTCTAAGCGGGAGCTTGTCCTCAATACGTGGGCCGCCGTGCCGAGGTGATCTTGTTCGAATAGCATTTTTCTTTTTCTTCTATCATGCATGGTTATCATGGATTATTCTATTCGTACAAGACAACCTCCGCCTTGTTCAAATAGGTAAGCCAAGTGGCGCCTCTATTGGGGTAGTATGGCCGGGTCATTACAACCACATCTTTACGAAGGATTGTATGACTTGCTGATATATAGCCTTTGTTTCACAATCATATTTTTTAAAATACTTATTTTCATTCACATATTTATATAATAAAATATTTTTCACATAAACTAAAAATTCTTTTACCACATGTTTTTCTAAACTTACTTTGCCTTTATTTGAGTCACATTATTCTCAAAGAAATTCATTTTTGAATAGTGTATTGATGAAAAATGTGTGATTAGAAAATAAGGAAAATTTTTGAATTTACATGTATTATTGTTTTATTGAAATAATGTTAAATTACTGTTTAAAAAATATATATATTTTTAAAAATGTGGCTCAAACAGGTCTATATACAACTCCCGTTTGAGCTACATTATAGTAAACATGAAAATGAAAATGAAAAATAAAGTCGTTATAAACTTACACGAGATAAAAAGTCAAATATATAGGCCGTTTGTTCCACATTTTTCCAACAAAAATGCATTTTAAACATCACATCATGGGTCCTACCTTAGAGTGTTGAAGTCAAACATTGTAAGCTGATTTGATGGAAAAAAATGTATTATTTTTCCAAATAATGTGCACCAAACAAGGGCATAATGATTTGATATGATAAATAACGATCATATTTTTCATGTGAAAATAATGGAGCTAAAAAAATTCATAACTCTATTTTGTTACTCAAATAATGATACTGAAACGGGGCATAGTACACACACTATACTGCAACTGAAACTGAAAGTGGGACTGAACTGAAATTTATTGTAATCCAGTTGATGGATGCAACTTTCAGAGTTTCGGTGCATTAAATTGATTTGATAGAATTGACCAGTCTGATCATCTGGAATTAGAGGGGACCTCTATTCAGTTTTACTTTTTGTGGGGTGTTCATTTTTTTACTTTTAAAGTTAGATGGTCATCACTGTTCAAATTTTTCATGCAGCCAACCATACGCAACTAAACACAAAGTCCATACATGAATTTTGCAATAGAATCGCAGCACCTGCATGTTGCATTTCCTGTCATGTTTGGGCCCAAAATCAAGTGTTAAATCTGTCAAAATTCTATGAAATTTTCCTGTACCTGTAGCGTTGCTCATGAAATTTTCCTGTGTTAGGGAGTTGGAATAGTTCTCACACTGTTGGTCAACGACCACATACTTGTGTATCTGCGCAATTGTGTTTCTGATTGCATTTCGCTTGTCTCTAAATTGAATTTGAGATTAGGCTTGATTTTTAAAATGATCAAGACTAATGACTTATAACATGGCTCAAAATTCAATGCTTTTGTCTTAATTTTGCTACCTAGTTCTTGTCGACTAATGTCATGTAATGTGCATTTTTTTCCGGAAGGTCATGACAAATGGAAGGTTTTTGAGTGTACGACATAGAGCTATGGTGAACTCCTATAATTCAAGAATGTCAATGGCGTATTTTTCTGCTCCACCACTTGATGCCACAATAAGTTGCCTGCCAGTACTACTAACACCACAGAAACCTCCTCTTTACAGAAGCTTTACCTGGGCCGAGTACAAGAAAGCTACCTATTCGCTTCGACTAGGAGAGAGCCGTCTTAATCTTTTCAAGGCTCGACGGGATGATGATGAAAATAGTAACTAATTTCCTGAATGATTTTGCAAGGAATTAATCAAAAGGTTAGTTTTATTTTTATTTTTCTAATGGTTTTCTGTAGCTTTTGCTAACCAGCAGTTCTTATAGTTGGAAGTGCAGATTAGGTTTCGGATGGTATGAAAAAGGGCTTTAGGGTTTCTGACTTCACCTATGTACTGTTCCAATTGTAGCTCCTAGAAGTTTAAATTAAATTATAATCCAAGTCGAAGGCAACAATTAATTTTAACTATATATTTTATCAATTTCTATTAAATTTTACTAAAAATCTTATTTTTATACCAATCAAGCAGAGGTTTAGGTATAAACTAACTATGAAACATTAAGCTAAAAATGCAACCGTGTTATGGAGGAGAGATCGATCGAGGGAATA